CCGGTAGCTTAAACTCATGCCGGGCGCGTGTGCGTGAGTGCCCAAGATCCCGAGAGGAGAATGGAGGAGAAGGGATTGCGGTGTGGCCATCCCCCCTGGGGGAGTGATTTCTCACTTTCTGTCTCTCTGTCTCTCTCTGTCTTTCTGGCGAGCATACGCGCCCTATAGTAAAAACCTCTCTTTAAAAAAATGAAATACAAAAGAATGAAAAAAATCAGAAATGTTGTATTATGTGAAGCAGTTTACAAAGGCCTTTAGTCCATCAAAACCTGGAAAATCTTTTTTTTTTTTTTTTTTTTTTACAATGGAGTTATAGTCCGACAAGTTATTTAATTAATTTCATTATAAGTCCTTTCAAGAATATCATAACTGTTCCAGTGTTATAATAAGTCTTTGTTCAGGACTGCGAGGTGACAGAGGTATCAAAACAGGATCGTCTCATTCATTCCTCAGTAACAGCAGAAAGCAGGCAATAAGCCACCAGGTCTGAGACTCGAAACGCGGTCAACGACATGGGAGTCCAGTGACATAGCCATTACACTAACTGCAGGTCCCAGAACCTAAAAATCTTAACATACACACAAAAAAAACCAGACAGTTCTCCAATGAACCAGAAAACAGAATCTGTATGCTCATAGTTGTTTGGAATCCTGTAATTGAAAAGCAAAGATGGGAAACCAGTTTTTGAATGCCAAGAGGAGGAGTCGCTGGACTAGCTTTCTGGATCAGTGCTAGGTAGGGCTATCGCGTGTGCACGCTTTAGTGCTCCGTTTCTGAGAGCCATGGAAGGTGGAGGTGTCGAGCTCCTAAAGGAAAGGTGAGAGAAGTTCTTCCATCAGTATTCACAAGCACTGCAATTTCAGTCATGCAACCTACCTGACATAGTTAGAGAAATCTGCTTCTTCCCATTGCATAAAATGATATTTTAGAGTCTAGTCCTTTATTAATAGAAAGGAAAGAAGCCTCCGCATAATCAAATACGCTGCGTTTCTCTGTAATGATCAACTCCTCTGGAATGGATTAGAACTAGATAGCCTGAGAATTTTGTGCAAATACCTCACCTCACCACCACTCTACTTCTCTTTCTTTTTTTTTTTGGAGAGGTTTTTGCTATAGGACACATGCACTCGCCAGGAAGAGAGAGCCAGAGAGACAGAAGGCGAGAAATCCCCTCCCCCCTGGGGGATGGCCACGCTGCAATCCCTTCTCCTCCATTCTCCTCTTGAGATCTTGGGCACGCACGCACACG